GTCGATCCGCGAGGAGTTCAACGACTCGACGCTGATTGTCATTGCCCACCGCCTGAGCACGATTGCGGATTTCGACCGCATCTTGGTCCTGAGCGACGGCGCTGTCGCCGAGTACGGTAGCCCGCAGGAGCTGTGGGGTAAGGATGATGGTGTGTTCAGGGGTATGTGTGAGGAGAGCGGTGAGAAGGAGAAGTTGAAGAATATCATCTTTTCTTAGATTGGGTTTGAGAAACGTCTACGGGCACTATGGGAAATTTGAAGTTTGGAGAGAGAGATATATAACTTGGATCTGGTGGTTGACGAGATGGCAAGAATCTCGTCGCGTTGCGCGTTGATTTGGTTTTTCTTTTTTTTTTTTTTTTTTTTGGAATCGTTGTACTACTTGTTTGGCGTCGCTTTATTATTTGAGATTGAGCTTTTTCCTTTCTTTCTCAAGATTTTCATACTGACCTATCTGTCCGATGAGTGAAAGAGAGAAAGAGAGAAAGAGAGAGAGAGGGAGAAGGGAAAAAAGTGAAGAAAAAGATGTCTGAAAAAGACGGTATAAAAAGTAACGGGACTGTCTAGAAACAAGTTCCCCCATTATTCGAATGGAATATAAATCCGGATGAGAACACTCCTCTTTTTCAGTCTCGAATGCTTTGTGAAATGCTTAACTTGGAAAAACAGGAGCGTTGTACTCGACGCAATCAATCAACTTTGAGGCTAAAGTTAACTTAATTAAAGGCGATTTTTTTGAGTTGACAGAGTGTTACGGCCAGCTAGTCGTAGGGGTAGTTTGCAGAAGTTGAGGCTGCGGAACTGGTAACAGTAATCGTAGTCGGGGATAGCTTCAGGGAAGCTATGTCTGTCAATCGTAAGGGTAGGTAAGGCTTCGGTGATCAATCGTAGTCTTGTCAAGGTAGTAGCTGAAAGCGGATGTTAATCCTGATACGAAGTTAATTGCTGAAGAGCTATGGAAAGTCTGTCCTAGAGTCCGGCTCGAGTCCATCCTATATACAAGTCCTGGTCCTGAATATATCCCTTGTCAATGATCAGTTCCTCTGATCGGGTGAGCGCTCATCGTTCGGCATGAGCGCTCATTGTTCGGCATGAGCGCTCATTACTTGGCATGAGCGCTCATGGCCCCACCATGGTCGCTCATGGCCCCACCATGGCCGCTCATGTCTTGTCTTATCATCACGTGACTTGTACCATAGTTCTTCCGTTCCGTGAGAGGGTGCCTAGTGTCCCTTATCTCCTGCATATGTGGTGTATTATAACCGCCGCGAGCCTGCGGGGCAGGCCCTGTTCTTGGTCATGCATGTTGGGTTGTAACACAGAGTCGATTCTTGAGTTGGATGTTGGAGTTGCGTTAATGTTACGAGCTGGACAAGGCAACCAACTGTGGCACAAAGCAAAAGCTTCGATAATGATGACTCCGGCATCATTGTCCCTTGTTCTGCATTATATAGCTACGCGCCCACAGTGACAAGTTGCGGCGGGCGTAACAGTTAAGTGCAACGCTTTTAAAATAAAATAAAATATGCGGAAAAAACAAAATCAAAATTTTTTTTTTTTTGGAAAAGAAGGAGAAGGAGGGGTAAAAGAAAGACTGTTCGCATGAGGCCAGAAAGGGGGTGGAAGTTGTAGCACAACAAACTTTCTCAATCGGGGTCGATTAAGACTGTAGCAGGTGGTTTCTGTAATTCTTTACTTTTGCGAGGTAGCCAGAATCAATATATGCAGTACTATTCTACAACACTAGTACCTTTTTCTTTTTCGTAAACTGCTCGAATCTCCTGCACCAACTCGACACCCTGAGGATATATGCGCCATCCCAACCTCGTTTTCTGTCAGTAGCACAGCAAGCACCAGGGCGCGCGTCTAGAGTCGGCAGGACAGGTCAGATCGAAGGTGTGTGCAGTGTTTAGTCGAGTTGAATTACAATTGAAACAAATACTCTAATGAAGTCAGAGTCCGGGCTTGACTGAGGTGGTGCGCTGTTTAGATCCGGATAGGGACGTGAACTATAATGTCGTTGTTCCCTCACTCCCTTCTTTCCTTCCTTTCTTTCCTTTCCTTCCTTTTATTCTGTTCTCTCTATTTCTTCTATGTCTAGTGGGTTTGAGACCGGAACTGGAAATGCCAGCTGGCCTGTCGTATTCACCGTCCACCTCAATAACCAAAGATTACAGGATTGTAGGATTTTGTAGGTACGGCGATGCGGCTTCTAGAAAACGCATTTCCTAGGTTTCAATTTTACTACCCGTGTCTTGGCGGGAAGACGTTGAGGTAAGGTATTCCGGGGGGCGCTGGGTCCACGGCCGTGCAGCCGGGATGGAGAAATGCTTCGAGTGGGGACGATGAGCTTATTCCGACTTCAATCAGGCCTTTTTTTGGTGTGTTTTGGTGGGCTTTGTACCCGGTACATTGCCTGGTGTCCCCAATGTACCGCGCTTAAAGTCGGTACAAAGCGGTGCATTGACATGGAAATATGGGGTACCTGGGTACGTGCAAGACGCAGTGCGAACTCAATTCCTCTCACTCAGCAATATGAAGAACGGAAATGTTGGCTTTGCGCTCTTGAATATTTCAGGACTTGTAGTGCAGAAATGCATTTGCGGATATTTCATGTATATCATTAGCCTTACGGTCCATTGTCTTGGAGTAAGGAATGCCATAACCCTGGGCGTCGAGCTGGCTGTTTGGAGCGTGGAGCAAAGGCCGAGCCTCGAGGGTTTTGAAGACGGTGTTGGACAAAGATAGCGTTCCATTTCCAAAGCTGGGGACACAAAACAATACGAATTGAAGCTATTGAATTGACGGAAAACCTGGCACAGAAGATCATACCAAGCCATAGAGACCAGAGATTCTAATGGGACTACAGTTGCTGAAAACTCTTGCGGAAGCCGTTGGAGTAGTTGTTGTTGTTGTTGTATTTTAACGCCGTAGCGGCAAGGGCGCAGCCGCCCTTGCGGCAGACCTCCCGAAGGGTATATGGCGTGGAGGGCCGTAGGCCTATAGCTATCACTAGATACAGTCCAGCTCGTCCTCCAAATCGTGCCCAAAGGCAACTATGTGTTTAACCTGTCTCTGGGTGCCGCTGGCTTGCCCGAGACAGTGCTATGGTCGTCCCTAGAACGCAATTCCGCCAGTATCTCCTATCCTTCGACCCAGAGCCCGCAGGCTTCTGGTTTATACAACGTTCCAGTAACCGTCCGGAGTATATCGTAATAGGTAATACCGCCACAAGGGAAACCACAAGGGGCAAAACCTCGTAAGACTAGGTTGTAGGGCTTGCTGTTAGGTTCTGTAACGAGCATAGCTGTATATAGCCGTGGCTATACGTCGCTACCCAATGGTCGTTTCGTCTCTTCGAGGGAGTCTTCGATCGTTAAGGGGCAAAGGTGCTGAGAGAGCGAAGTCGAAAAGTCGGTCGGTGATGTTCAATTTTGGGCCCGGAAGCGCCACTTGCGCCGGGAAAGAAAGTCGTCCGTCTCCTTCGGGAGGCTAGATGGAACCTCTGCTCCCTGCCCTACCAGGAAGACTTCGTCTAGCCTGCGGAAGGCGAATTCGAGTCGACGGCGGCTCGTTAGGTTGAATAATCGTCGGCTCGATTCGAGGGGAAAATGTGCGTTGTTAAGGGTTTGATTAGCGTATAGCTAATCCACCCCAGCGCCCAGCGGCAAACCGCGGGGACTGGGGCCCCTCCTTAGCATGGCACTAACAGCCCGTGCCAAGCTGGAGAGATGTTTCGTGGAGGTTAGCCGTTGGAGTATGTTGTACTTAGTTTACTGTTAAATTGCCCTCGCAACTTTGCATTTATTAAAGGGTATCCCTGGAACAAGAGTAAAATCTTAGGACGAAAAAAGTTTAGAAAAAAAAAAGCCTGGGAAAGATTTGAGTGAGGACGGGAGGGGGGTGAAGACTCAAGAATAGAACAGGGTGATTTCTTGTCACTAAGGGAGTACACTAAGTGTCAATGCGAATGGACGTGAACCACCAGGTCAAGCCAAGCCTTTCGGCTGGTACGAATTCCAGTAATCTTATAGTGAAGTGCGTAAATTGGGATGTGGAATGAGGAAGAAATGGGCGAAGCCCATAGATGCTCCGAAGGGCGGAAGAGCTGTTTGCAACGGCCCAGATCACTTTCTGAATGGGCCTTTTCCTGTCGATGTTCTAACAAAGAACTTATCGGGCTGGTTTATATCAAGAGGAGAAAAGAGAAAAGGAGAAGGCGATATCGATTCTGCCATTGCTCCATAAGGTAGGCAGGCCGCAGGTATCCATCACGAACCAGAGAATGAGAAGTCACGATTGTGTCATGTCATAATACGGCAGGAAATAGATGTATGATGCTTCCCTTCCTCTGCTTTCAGTGTCAAGGCATTTATTGAGAACTTCTAGGGTCCAGTGGGAGTTCTTACGTGAAGGAGCACATTCACCTCTCTTTGAAATTTGTTGTTCACAGACAAAAGCTTGACTAAAGGTGGAATGACCCTCTCTTGTGCAAGCGGATCCAGACACGCTCGAACATCTTCAAACTTCTTGTTACGCGCTTCTTCCCCCCCCGTGGACTAAAGTTCAAGGCAGAGGCACTTTGAGAATACTACATACGGCTCATCTAAAGCAAAAGGTGCCTTTAGAACAACTTGTAAAGGGCGGCCCATCCCGTGTAAAGTCCGGGAGGATAACGTCACTCCCAACCGGGATGGCAACTGGAATATATCTGGACATGATACCAGAAATGCTGGACTTCGAAACGTCGAAACTCTGGAACGTTTTTGATGACGGCACGTTCTTGAAGTAGGAAGCAAGAGTAAGATATTTGTGATAAGATTTATCTACCCTGAGCGTCCACTTTCAGAGAAATAGATGCATACCTCCTTTCCCCGCTTCTGACTTATGATTCACAAAGACCCAAAAAGGACGAGAAATGTCCCCCAGAGGTCGAAACGCCTTTGTCCCGGAGCTCAACTTTCCAATATCCTCTGACCGCATTTCCAGTTACGTCAAAGTCAAATAATCCGCAGTGTCGAGTGCCCCTTATCCTGCATCATCATCGCAAAATCCTGCTGCTCCAGCATCCGCCCATACTCCCCCGCCAACCTCCACCGCGAGCTAAGCCTCTCCAAGCACCGCTTGATGACGTTCATCTCGTCCTCGCACTCGAGCGTCCCTTCCTCTCGCAGCAGCCAGGCGAGGGTATTCGCGGCGCCGTAGAGCGCGTCCAAGATCAGCGAGCTCACGCTTCCGATATCACTGCCACCGCTTTGCCCTTCATGGCGGTTATGAAGACCGTTACCGTTCATGTTCATGTCATCATCACCATCCCTTTCAGTTCTCGAGAAAAGGAGCAGCAGTAAAAGTCATGCAAGAGGACGGCGGCGGATAGAAGCACACAGCGCGGTGCGAGGAGGGGTAGGGGTAGGGGCAGCGACAGCGGCAGCAGCCTCTCGTCCGTGGGGGACTTTTACAAGTACTCCAGGGTCGAGAAGAGCGTTTCTGACAGGGCGTTTGCCTCGGCGATGGCGTCGGCGGGCAAGGCGAGCGGGTTCTGTTTGCGGTCCGAGGTGGCTTTGCGGACGTGGGTTATTATTTTGCCGGCGATGAGGGTGGAGCGGCAGAGGGAGGAGAAGGGTGAGGGTGGGGAGGGGGGCGGGGAGGTGATGTTGTGGTGGGCTGCGCGGCCGACGCGGCCTTCGTCCTGAGTTTGCGTGTTAGTCAAGGTGGTTTGGTCCATTGTTTGATAGAAGAAAGGACGGTACATACCCATGCCTCGTCGTCTACGGGGTACGTCTCGTTGTCTTGCGGCTCGGGGGAGAGGTAGCGCTTCTTGTTGCCGAGGCAGATGATGCGGTCGAGGCTGATGATGGCCCACCATGTCCGCGAGCGCTCCTCGAGCTCCGTCCACGTTGTCTGTTATCAAACCGTTAATCGTTGCATCTAGATTGCTTCAGATGGGGCAGACTATGTAGGCAGTCAACATACAGGTGAAGCCAAGATAACGTTCCCCTCGTGAAAACCAGATAGACCGAGGAAATCGGCATACCGCACGCACGCGGCGACGGTGATCCACGCGGCCGGGTATAGGGCGTGCGCGTACTCAAAGTATGCGATGAGTGTCATGGATTGCAGGACCATGACGGAGGTGGCGCCGCTTTGCTCCAGCAGGGACATGAAGCGTTTCGCGGCGTGGTAGATTGCCATGTGCTGGGAACCCGCAAGGACATCTGTCGGGCGGGTGGCTATAAGCTCCATGGCGAGGAAGAGCATGGCCAGGTCCGGCCCGCCCTGGCTGAGGGAGACACCCATGTTCATGCGTTTCTTGGAGACGATGGGGAGCCAGGTGTGGATTGTGGTGAAGTAGGCGTTTACGACGTATTGGATTGCGTGGCCGTCTCCTAGATGTTGGAGGACTTCCTGTAAAGATGTGTCAGAATCGAAAAGGAGTGAATGAGAAAAGCCGAAGCTTGCAATAGAAAGACTTTCGTCGAAAGACTTTCATGAATGCGCTCTAGGGCAACGGATAAGAGCATTGCTTAGCTTGTCACGTACACTCGGGAGAGATTGATTCAACCACTCCGTGGAAGAAAGATCGAGAAAGGCGCCTGGCGGGTACGGAGCCGAGGCCTGCTGTTCCCAGAGCGGTTCAAGAGGCGTGAAGACCGACGGAGCAGACGGCGTCTCCTCCATGCCTCCCCCGGATGCTGAATTGGATGCGGGGCCATGGCCGGTTCCCGGTGTGCCCCCGCTGCCGCCGCCTCCCCCCGAGGATGAGGACGCGGGCGTGCCGCCGTTCCCGGCGGTGTTGAACCGGCCTTCAAGCTCATTCAAGCTCAATGAGCTTCAGCTGCAGGGCAGCAAAGTCGTCGGCGGTCGGAGCGGCCGGCGCGGGTTCTGCGTAGTCGCACCGGCGTTCCATGCGAGTGCACAACCCGCACGCCGGAAGCGCCTTGTCGCATTTGCGCTTTTGTCACTTGCAGCTGCCGCATGCTAGCGGGGCCTTTGCATCTGTTGCGTAGCGGTCGCTGGGTGTGAGGAGGAGCGCCATGGTTGTCTCATGGGAGGGTTTTCATGGCGATTTCGCAGTGAGGTTCCAGGTTGTGGGGGCGGTGGCGGTGTTGGGGGGCGGGTTCAGAGGGTTATAGCGATGAGGTGCGCTGAAGCTCACTTTGTTCAGAAGGGGCTTTGCTGACGGACACCACTAAAATTGGGTCACGCGTTGTGGGATTTTCTTGGAAATTTTCAATTGGTGGGATTGCTCTTCTGTTTGATAATTGGAATTCTCGTGTTCAATATAGACTGCACTGCTTTGCAGAATTGTAATCCCGTCTTCACAATCACCAAATTTCGGAACGCATGTCGTTGTTTTGGACACCCGGTGGTCGGAAGTCCGAGGCCGATGGAGGTTGACCTGGCCGGACTTGACGTTGAATTGACCGAGGATACGGGGCCGATTCTTCCCGCCGCCTCCCCGCCAGACCCCACCAACCGTCACCGTGGCAGCGAGGCACGTAAACAGCTCCGTGAGGGGAATCTTGATTCAAACACGGCCTTTTCGATCCAGTGGAGACAAATCCATGCTTCCAAGCGGGGCTGATCAACATCGACAATGCCTACCTGGTTCCAGAACAGCTCAGCTGTCAAATAGCGCAGGTCAAAAATTGCCTGAGTTCATCCTACATTAGGTAATCCAACTTGGTGGAGAGGAGACAGTCGTGAGTCCGTGACACGGTGACAGCATGGATCAAGTCGAACGATGGTGGGGTTGGAGATTCCCTGTCCTTGTCAATGGGAATCTCAAACCGACACCCGCTCGCCGCAGCACCCCAGGAAACGCAGGTCCGGGATGGACCCCTGTGCTAAGCCCCAATGCCCCCCTTAGTTGAGCTGGACAACGAGGCGGGCAAGCGGGCCATCATGTTTGTTGGATGGCGCAAGTAAACATGGCCCCAGTGAGTCAATTTAGGTAAACCTCTGGGAACTTTGCTTTCAGTTTTCCCTCTTCCGTCTTTTCAACTTCCTTTGTTCCAGCTCCCCGTCGTCGCTCGAGTCGCTCGAGTCGCAGTCGCAATCGCAATCGCAGTGTCTTTCGCTCTCCCGTCTCCCCCCCCCCCCCCCCCCCCTCCCCTTCCCCGCAAAACATGGCCGATTCCCCGAGCCGCTCCGGCAGCCTCCGAGTCCGCCGAACCCGCGGCGGACCCTCGCGAAACTCCTCCGCCCGCTCCTCAGCCGCATGGGAGGACAACTCCTACCTCCACCCCAACTCAGGCAGCTACCAGCAGCAGCTGCCGCAGCATGCGCAACAACAACTCCCCTACGCCCTGCGATCGGCGTCGTCGCGATTCTCCCTCAACGAGCAATTCGCCGCCACGCGACAAGAGTACGAATTCGGCGACGACGACGCCTCCTCCATCCTCGAGCGCATGACGCTCGCCTCCGACGCCGGCGACGAGAGCACAATTGCCGTGAGCACGGACGGCGATGCGACACAGGATATCGACGGCGCCGAGGCCGGCGACTACTACGACCTGCTGTGCCTGGCCAAGGACCCGACGCTGACGCCGGACCAGATCCGGAGGGCCTACCACCGGCTGCTGCTGTACCTGCACAGGGACGGCCTGCCCGAGAACCTGCGCGGCGTCGCGCAGCCGTACTTCAACCAGGTGCAGAGGGGGTTCGAGACGCTGATTGACCCGTACCGGCGGGCGCTGTACGATGCGAGCCGATTGCGGGACGCGACGAATGTGCCCGACTTGCCTCTCGACGAGGACTACCGATATGCATATGACATGTCGCTCAAGGAGCAGCTGCGGCAGCGGGCGGCTGACATGGTGCAGACGTCGTCGGATCTGGGCATCCGGTTCGACGCGTCCAAGGCGGTGCGGCAGGGGTCTGCTGTGACGCCCCTCGACTTTACTCTGAGCCACTCTCTGACCGTTGGCCTGCCGGTGCTGGGGCAATTGATTGAGAGGACAGCGGCAACGAAGGCGCAGCGCGTCTCGTCTGTGTCGAAACGGGTGCCTTCGATTGCGCTCAACGAGAGCGACGAAGCTGGTGTTGACCAACCCCGGGAATCCATGATTTACCTACCGCCTCCGCAGGTGACTTTGACTGGATCTGTGTATGGCATCGTGGAGGAGATATACCGGGTCCCGTTGCCACTTTTAGCCGATCGATACCAACCATTGCTACCTCCGAGTATACCCCGAAAACGCATCATCCAGCTGGCAGAGCAGCGCCCGTGTCCCCTCATCAGCCTCAAATTCCGACAGGACATCGTCCATAGGACAGCTGAAGACCGCATCGCACAGACATCGATTGAAGTAAAAACCGAGGCCCTCCCAGAGGCATCATTAACAGCCAGGGTCTCACACCCAATCCACCTACCAAACGACCCGGATCCAATACTACTCGAAGGAAGCATAAAGTCAGGGCGGCCATGGACGCAAGCAGCACCGCGCCTCGGCCTAGGAATCCACCGCTGGATGGGTGCCGGCACCGCGTACGCAATCGCAGACAGCGGCGACTGGAGCGTCTGGCCCGGCGAGACCATCAAACTCTTCACCGACTTCTCACAGGTGAGCAAGAGCCAGCTCCTCGCCGAATTCCCTATGAAGACTTCCGCAAGCTTCGAGTTGGGCTTCACCACATCGCCCGAGCGCGTCCCGTCCACAGCGCACGAGGATTCTCCGCGCGGGGAATGCGGAATCCGAGGACTCGACCACGAATCGACAATCACCAACGACGCCTCCTGGACCGTCTCCGCCTCTTTGACGGCAGACACCATCGGCGGCTACCTCCGCTACGGCAAAGACATGCCAGCACTCCTCTCGGCACCTAGCTCCAACCCCCCAACCAGACTCGAACTCGAACTCTGCACAAACACCCTCCTCGACCGCCACCTCGCCGTCCGCAACCTCTGGCCCGTAGGCCGCTTCTCCAAACTCGGCCTCGAGCTCGGCGTCAGCCTGCACAGCCTGCACCTCTCCCTCTACTGGTCCCGCCTCAGCCAGCGCCTCAGCATCCCGCTCCTACTCGCTCCGCGCGCAGAGTACACGCCCACCGTCTTCTTCTACGCGGCCGCCGTGCCTTTACTAGCCTTCGCCGCGCGGCACTTTTACTCGTCTTACTCTTCTTCTGCGGGGCGGGCGAAGCGCACTGCTCGCGGGGCGATTGCCGAAGCAGATTTACAGGCCTACGTCGCGCGTAAGCGGGCCGCGGCGGATGACATCGCCGTCGTGCTCTCGGGGGCCATGGAGGCGCGGCAGCGCGTGGAGCGGCAGCGGGGCGGGCTCGTCATTCTTAGCGCGAAATTTGGCGTCAGGGGCGAGGGTCGGGCCGGGGACGGGGAGGACGAGGGTGATGGTGATGGAGACGGTGTCCCAGACTGCTGGGCCGCGGAAGAGGTCGCGGACGTCACCATCGCAGTAGCAGCGCTGGTGGAGGACGGGGGGCTGCGGATCCCGGCCGGGGTGAGGAAGGCATCGTTGCTGGGGTTCTGGGACCCGGCGCCGTTGCGGCGGAAAGCGCTTCACGTGAGGTACCTGTGGCGCGGGAGGGAGAGTACGGTTGAAGTCGTGGGACGGGATGAGCTGGTTCTCCCGCCTGCGAAGAGGGATTTGTCGTGATGTACATGTGTCATTTTGTACCTTTATGGATGTATGATGGGATGTGCGAGATGATCGATGTAGCATTAGTGGAGTCGGGAAATGGGGGGAAACCAAGTGGGATGATTTTGCATGGGATGGTGTTGTTGGGAAGATTCCTACACTTTCTTGGCCAGTTATCTAGGAAATGAACAATTACTATTTGATTGAGGGATCAAAAGGATGCTTCAAGCTGCGGCTTCCAACGTGAATCAAACTGTAATAAACCGCCTGTGGGGTAAACTGCTACTTCTGGTCTTGTGATCTGCAAGGGACCCTCGTTTGAGAAGAAGGATGATTTTACTTTTTTTGTAGTTTTTCCTTTCTCATCTTGAATTGAACGGATGAGGCGGCCATACTTTTTGCAGAGTACGGACATTTAAGAATCCGTTCGCGAAAGCGAAAAGGACAAGCCACCAAAAAAAAAAAAAAAAAGAAAAAAAAAAAAGAAAGGCAAAGTCAAAGTCGTCTTGGGCGCTCATTACAGACCCCACGTTTACTTTCGGATGAACGTCTCGAAATTTGACCAAGCTTCGGTCATTGCGGGTGACTGACCCTCGTCATAGGTGGTTGCAGCTTGCCAGTTGTAACTCTAGTATCCACTCCTAGGCGACTAGGTACTCGATTACGTGGGACCCATTGGCTAGTCATGTTGCAGAGTTGTCAACTGAGTCAAGTTTGCCAGCGTGCCAGCCTAAGTCCCCGCGGCTTACCATTAAGCGGCTTCGCCGACCCAATTTAGCTTTTCTGGGCCTCTTAAGAGACCCCCCCCCCCCCCCCTGGGCCCGGTGGGAGGTGGCGTCAAATATAGGCCCTATGCAGTCTCGTCTATAAGAACGCCAGGAAAATCTATCCCACACTAATACTCCGTAGAAAGCCTAAAATTCGGGGCCCGAGTTTTCGTATTGTGAACAACTTTTTAGCTTATCTGGCTACCTACTAGGCTGGATTACGACTGTGCGAATAACGTAGACAAACAAAAGTAAAGTCGCTACAATAAACTTGAAGTAGCTCTAATTGACAAGTAGCGACGTGGAGAAAATAACTCACTCATCAATCCTCATTCCTCGTTTGACTCGCATCGAACTCAATGACAATTAGATTTCTTGCGCCTTGAACTCCGGGAAGCCGGTGTCGGTGGCTCATACAACATCCCACCTGACTCGCTCTCAATGTCGGGCTCTCAATTAATTTGCAACGCTCTCAGGAACGCACGGTTAATCAATCTCAATCTAATCAGCCTCGCAACTGCTTGCAGCAACGATCCACACAGCAATATAGTATCCGTATTTGCAATCATATATATACCCAGTCTACGAATTCCATCATACTTGACTGTTCGTTCCAATCATCTCTTCAGACTTCACCACGCTTTTTAACTAACTTCTCTCTTTACGATCCAACTAATACATTCCACTCTTTTCTATTTACTTTTTTCAAACAAAATACACACAATGCATTCCTTGTCATTCGCCGTCGCCTTCCTAGCCCTCGCCGCCATCCCCGGCACTCTCGCCGGCTGGAACGGCCACGCCACCACCCCGGGCACAAAGTGCTACAGAAACGAAATTTCGGGCTGCGCATCCGGACGTTGCCTCAACGGGTATGAAGACGACTCTCTCCGAACCAACAGTCTATACCTCAATCCAGCTCTCACTCAGTCCCGCTGACATTTTCTGCCTCCCGATAGTAACTGCGTCCGAAGCTGCGCCGCCGGCGAAGAGCAGGGCTGCCCTACGCTCTGCAAGAAGCTCACCATGCCGGAAGGCTGGTGTGCGGCAAAGTAAGTTTTCAGACTCTTACACGCAGGCTCGCCTGCGCCGGCTTTATAAAGGCGGAAAAAGAAAAGTTCAACGAGGCTGATGACGTGTTTTTTTTTGTTTTCTCCAGCAACTCCGGTGCTTGCTGGTGCACTCGCGACGACACCAAGAGCTTCATCGACGCTGATCGCCCTATTGATAAGAGGGATGAGATCAAAACCTACCGCGAGACCAAAGCTTGAGGTGCGATTGTTGATTCGTGCGTGTGTGTGGTGAATTGGTGTGGTGAGAATCTGAGCATTGTATCGGGGACTTGGGGTGTGCCGAAATGCACACCTATCGAGCGCAGATGTGGCAAGGGTTGGGGTTTGGGTTGTGGAGTCAAGCGTCTATGCTCGCTCTTGACAGAAAAGAACACAACATCAGAGCAACGGCGCTGGTGGGGACTGTTTCATGCATGTCGGCCAATCACAGACTCGACCCCGATCAGTAATACATTCTTCGCCCAAGACGGTCAAGGCATTGTACTTTCGTTAAACTTAGAGTTGCTGAAACTACGTACCTAGTCGTCCTTTCCCAAGCAAGGTGTCTAGTAAATTCTTAAACATCTAACGTGGTTCATCAGTCAGCGACGAATATCAGTCAGCGACGAACTTTTTCCCAAATGCGGTTTGCATTAAACCACTCCAACCTTTGACGCGTAATAACTCCACAACCATTATGCCAATTTACACACAAGAAGACAAGATACTTCTAGCCATCGAGACTATCCGATCAGCCCGCGCCGCCGGCCGAAAACTAAGTATGTTGCGTGCTACGAAGACTTACGGTATCCCCGAAAGTTCCGTACGCCATAGAATGAACGATCGACCCCGACGCGAACGTGCCCAACCCCAACGACATAAATTTGATACGATCGAAGAGAAAGCGCTTCTCCAATACGTTATTAAGCAGGATCAAAGAGGGTTTCCCTTGCGTCTCGCTGGTGTGGAAGATATGGCCAATCTCCTGCTACGAGCGCGTAATGGCAAGCCTGTTGGCAAGCGATGGGCCAGGCGGTTTGTGGACTCGCAGCCTGCTCTGAAAACCAAGTTTAATCGTCCATACGATTATCAAAGGGCTCTTCAAGAAGATCCTGAGGTTATATCAAAGTAGTTTGCGCTGTTACGCAATATGATGGCCAAGTATGGTATCTAAGAGGGGGACCTATATAATTTCGACAAAACTGGCTTTATGATGGGCATAATCACCGCGTCAATAGTAGTAACACGCGCTGATCGACGCGGCAAAGCAAAGTCTGTCCAGCCTGGCAACCGTGAATGGGCTACAGTCATTGAATGTATCAATTCGGGCGGGTGGTGCATCCCTCCGTTCGTGATTGTCAAAGGCGCATATCACCTTGCTAGTTGGACCACGGAATCAGGTTTTCCTAGCGACTGGGTTATCAAACCTACCAATAATGGATGGACGGATAATCAGACGGGTCTTGACTGGATTAAACACTTCGACAAACATACTAAGAACCAAACGAAGGGCGTCTACCGGATGCTTATTATCGACGGCCACGAGAGCCATTTATCGGCCGAATTCGACAATTACTGCAAGCAGAACAATATTATAACCGTCAGTATGCCTGCAAATTCGTCACATCTACTACAGCCATTAGATATTGCCCTTTATTCGCCTTTAAAACGCGCATATGGTGATGAAATCAACCTATTCATCAAAGCCTCCATAAACCACATCACCAAGTCGGAGTTCTTTATTGCCTTCTACCAGGCCCACAACAAAGTTTTTAATCAAGAAAACATTAGGGCTGCTTTTCAAGGCGCTGGAATTTCACCATGGAACCCAGAGCATGTCATTGAAAAGCTTGATGTACGTTTACGGACGCCTACACCTCCTGTGGCCAACCCTTCAACACCACCACCTTGGCAGTCGCAAACGCCCTCTAACCCACAACAAACCGTCTCGCAGTCCAATTTTATCAAAAGTCGGATCACTGCTCATCAAGGAAGCTCACCAATGCCAATTATTGCTGCAGTTGAGCAATTGTCAAAGGGTACGCAGGCAATGGCGCACTCAATCACTCTTTTGACTGATCGGCTTCGTACCCTTGAGGATGCGAATGTTGCACTTGGTAAGCGCCGGAGGGCTAAAAGGACGCGGGTCCAGCTTAGAGGGGCGCTTAGTATAGAGGAATCTCAGGTTTTGCTTGAAGGGAAACAAAAAGGGAAACGTCCAGCACCTCAAGAGGATGAGGAGGGGGGTCCATCAAAGAGAGCCCAGCCAGCTCGGAGACGCTATGGTGTGTGTGGCGAGACCGGTCATAATGCGCGAACCTGTTCTAAGGATACGGAATTGTCAAATGATTCGAGTAGTAATGAGGAATAGTTAATTCAATGTGTTGTGGTTATGCAATAGTAAATACCATTACGTGCATGGGAAAAAGTTCGTCGCTGACTGATATTCGTCGCTGACTGATGAACCACGTTAACGGTCGCAAATTTCATTGGCTTACTAGGTGCATAGCTTAGACATTCTATAGTATATAGAAAGACTATAAAGGTCCGAGTACATACTAGGAAAAAGAAGTCAAGAACTTGTACACAAGAAATGTTCAATCCCCCTCGCAAACACGCGCAATCAAACCTCCTGCAACGTAGTCGCCCCAATAGCCACACCACTCTTGGGAATCAAAAAGCTACTACCCATAACTCTGCCATCCGCGCCCCTAGGCCCCTTCAGAACCGACGCATCAACACTCACAAAAGACGCATTCGTCCACGCCGTCCCATCATTCCACGAGTTCCCCGTCGCCGTCACCGTCCCCACAAGACTCACCTGCGCGCTCCCCGCCGCCCCATTCCCAGCCGCCACGTTCCCCCGCATCACCGAAGACGAACTCCGCATCAAGAACCCCGTATCCCCGTTATTCCACGCCGAATTCCTCTCAAACGTCAAACTCCCGGGGTTCCCATTATCGATAAACCCCTTTTTCCAATTCCCAAACGCGATACAATTCCGCACCACGTGATCCGCCACAGGGTTCCCCGTGATCCCCAACTTGAACCCGTTGCCGTCCCCCTCAAAGGGCGCGAACCCCCACCGGTTATACCCGTTACCCCACGCGTACACCCCTTCCAGCACCACCGAAGATCCAAACATGAAGAGGTCCAGCCCGTCGTCGACGTTATCCCACAGCCGGGCGTTGCGCAGGACGTTGCCCTCGCCGGCGCCCGACTTGCACGCGAAGCCGTCGGCGCTCTCGCCGTTTTTGCGCGGGTCGCGGTTGCGGTAGGAGTCGAGGTTCGTGACGGTGTTGTTGGCCGAGGCGCCCTCGAGCTGGAAGCCGGTTTCGTAGTTGTCGTGGGTGGAGAGGTTTGTGTAGGTGTTGTGGGAGGCGTCGCGGGCGTAGATTCCGTAGGGGCCGTTGATGAGTCTTTGAGGGGTGTGTGTGTGTTAGTTGTGCTGGCTGGTTCGTGGTTTTGAGAGAGGTGGGTGATGAAGTGGAGGGGTTTTGCCATACTCTAAATCGTAAAATGCCCAGTAATTCGCATTCTGGACGTGAAAAATCCCACGCTCGGAATTAGGCAGGGCCTCATCCAACGCCTTGGGAGTTCTGATAAAGTCAGTACACACCCATGTCAGTCCATATTTCTCTTCCCCACAAACACAGCAAGCAGGAAAAGTAAGACAAGGTACTCACCCCGGCATATTCTCCCCATCAACAACAACCTTCTCCCCCGGATACGGCCTCACACTAATCGGCAGCGTCCGCGTCCCGCTCTTGGCAAACTGCACATTCGCCGTCGGCGCGTACGTGCCCCCGCGGAGGAAAATCGTGTCGCCCGCGACGGCGGCGCCGACGGCCGATTGGATGGAGCCGTACGGCGCATCGAGATTTCCCGTGCCTGTGCTCGTCCCCGTGGGCGAGACGAATATGTCGCGGGCGGTTGTGTGGTGCGCGCTGCCGACGAGGAGGAGAAGCGAGAGGAGCCCGCGCGGTGGTGGTGGGTTGGGGATGGAGGCGAGCATGGCTTTGATGAACTGGGGCTGGAGGACGGTTTGATGGCACGAGGTTATTGGGGACGAAGCAGATGATGAGGTCGACGTTGATTATTTGTCCCGTCGGAACGAGGTGTCCATCCAGCTGCTCTTACTAAACTCGATTTCTGCCAAGAAACAAGATGTTGATTGTGATCCAAGTTGGCCATTGCAAGCCGCTCCGCCCAGATCTCCCAAATGCAACAATGTTCATCATGTTGCGTGATGTGCAAGTACCTACCTATGCATACCTTACCCCTAAAATGTAACCATGTCATTCCAGCTGGACGGGGCATACCAAAAATTGGTCCCGTCTCAAAGCCCCAAGAAATCCGAACAGAACAAGGACAGAAATTCCCCCCCAATCACGGACCCCTGTCTCCATCGAATCGGGAAAGAGTACCAGTCCTCCTGTGTCCGTTGCCCCCACCTGGACTACCTCCCCGGAAGAAAATGATCCCGCAAATAAAACAAACTCGACAAGATCTCATCTCTTTTTTTCAAAAAAAAATTAAAAAATTTCAAATTGAATTCTTTTACCTGGCGGTTCACTGTATACGTCAATGGAGACGGAATAGTTTGCTTCCGTTCATCTACAACCTTTTCTGCTCCAAACCCCGCCCTCACCCCCTCCCGCTGTCACATCACCAAGACCTTCAAGTAGAAGCCCACGTATCCCAATTCTCCGCGCTAAAATCAGGCCAATACAACGCCTGCAAGTCATCATAAAACGACGCCTCCAAAAACTGCAGATCCAACACCGGCTGCGCAAGGAGCTCCTCCAACGACGGCTCCGTCAGCGCCATCCCTGCCGTTGTGGGCCCGGCCCCGGCTCTCACAGGTAGTCCACCACCCAGACCGAATTGCGACGTCATGAGCGGGCCGGATTCCGGTTCAGGCCCGAGTCCGTGCGACGGCAGTGGTTGTGGTACCCCACCATAAGAGGAAGCCTGTTCCTGCTGCGGCGGCTGCTCAGCCTCCATCCTCCCCGTCCGCTTCGCGTAAAACCTATCAAGCTCAGCCCTCATCACATCAACGTGGTGACAATACTCCTGCGCAGCGAAATTCCCCGCGTCCCGCAGCTGCGAGAGAAACCTGACCGATTCCTCAAAGGCCTCCTTGTCGTCGTTGGGCGCTGCCCCGTGGCTGTCCTGCAAGAGACTCGAGGCGGCGAGGATCGTCAGCGCGGAAAAGAGGTACTGCGTGTAAAAGTAGTCAAACGTGGCAAAGGACCCGTCGATCCACGAGTCGGTGAGGAGGCGGATCGAGTGCCGCGCGCAGCGGATGCAGGCTTCCGATAGCGTGATGGCGCTGGCAGGGACTTGGGTTTCGGGGGTCGTTGTGGTTGTGGATGGCCAGGAGGCGACTTGGGTTCGTAGGATGTGGAGTAGGATGGGGCGGGTTGCTAGGATTGCGCACTTTTGGTGGGGTGTGTTAGTAAAGACTTGTCTCTTCAAGTGTGTGTGTGTGTGTGTGTGTGTAAAGTGTGCGGATGAGGAATAATACCTGATTAAAAGACAAATGCAGCGAAATAGGCTTCGGCCCGATCCCCGCGTTATCAATCTGCAAATGGACAGGCAAATCCTCCACCCACGCCCTGAGATCCTTGAGCGCCTGCTGGACCCTCTTCGACAGCGTCGTCGCCTCGCCCTGGCTGCGCTGGCCGTAGATGGAGCGCACCGTCTTGGTAATGAGGGCCGCCAGCCGCAGGCTCGCCACGTGGTAGGCAGTATCCTCAAAGTCGGCCGCGTGCGTCCGCGCCGTCGCCGCGTCGTCCGACGACGCCTCGGAGGGCAAGTCGACGCCGACGTCGCTGTCCTGGATGGCGGTCGGGTGGCCGAGCTTGGAGGCCCAGATGCGGTCAAAGATGTACGTCGTCCAGAAGAGGCGCTTGCGGTGCTCGCGCAGGTCCGGGTCGCGCAGCTGGGATTCGGGGATGTTGAGGTGCAGGCCCATGACGATGGCCATGCGCATCGCCGTGCCGGACATGACGAAGGCGCTGTACCGGCGGTTGAGGGCCAGCGAGTAAAAGGACAGGAGCAGCATGATCTCGATCGAGTCGGTGCCGGGCCGCTCGTCGAGGACGCCGAGGACGCGCGAGGCTTTGGCGAAGTAGGGCATGCCAGGGAAGTCCTTCTCAGAGGGGATGGAGCGGGTGGAGTAGAGCTCGCCGATGGCGAAGAGGGCCCAGAGCTTGGAGCGGAGCATGAGGTCGCCCCAGGAGGGGTTGTGGATGCTCTGTTCGAGGTCGCGCATGACGGCGCTGCGGCGGACGACGTGGTACCGGCGGGCGACGTACTTGAGGGCCACCTCGACGAGGAAGCGGGAGCGCGAGGGCGTGGGCCAGGCGACGTCGGAGGACTTGACGAGGGCCATGAGCTCGGCGTCGGGGGCGTAGTTTACGCGGAGCATGTGGCGGGGTTGGGGCGCGTAAGGGTCCGAGATGACTTGGCGGAAGCGGGTGGAGAAGGCGGCGTCGGCGACCTCGCCGATGAGGATCGGGGTGCGGAAGACGTTGGCGTTGATGAACCACGGTTTCACTTCGAGTGTTGCTGTTGCTGGAGCTGCGGCCCCGGCTGCTGCTGCGGCCTCCTCCGCTGCCGCTGCCATTGCCGTGGGCTCTTCATTATCGCCTGGGTTTGCGGATGTTGGTGTCGATAGTGCCTCTCTGTTGCTAGTGTAGCTGGTATTCTGAGACGGTGTTGCTGTCGTCGTCGTTGTTGATGTCACGTCATCTAGCGGCGCACAAGTGGAGGTTGAAGCGCTCTGGGAGGCAGCTTGGCTCTTGAGACGACGGATCTCGTCCAAAAGACTGTCAATGTAACTGTAATTTTACAAACAATTTGGCATGAGCTCCTCATCATCCCGTAGTTTTATAGTAGGGGAAAGGAAGAAGAAAGATAAAGAAAAAGAAAGAAAAAAAAACCCCCAGGAAACCGTATGTATTTTGTAATTGCCCGGATTTCGTTCAAATGTCAAGTACCTTTGTCTGACCTTGACCTGTCTATTGCGGCGCGGGTACGTGCACTCGGCACCTTTTCCGGCATGCCGACAATTCTGGCAGGGCTGGTCGCCGGAGCACTTTACTTTTCGCGAATGGCATCGGCGGCAGGCGGTTGATTTGATGGGCGGAAGAGGCCCGTCGTCAAAGGGGCTTCGCCTTTCACCCCGGCTCCGGGTCTCCGTCGTGCCGCTGGGCGGGGTGCTGTTGCGAGCCGCCATGGCGGGAATGGCATTTCTCGGGGGGCGGGGGGGGGGGGGGGGCGGAAACGGATAGCGGGGGAGAAGAAGAGGTTGAAAGAGAGAGAGAGAGAAGTCAAGGCAAAAGACAAAGACAAGAAAGAAAAATGGCAAGGTTCAAGTCAAATGCATCTCTACGAAAGTGTTGCCCATGGTCAATTGACCAACAACACCCACATACGCATACCTATTGCCTACATTACTGGGACATTGCAAGTATGTGTCAGAGGGCGCCCTTTCACACACCGATGACGGCGAAATGTCAGGATGCCGAGGCGGCCAGGCTTGCCAGTTTTGTTGCTTTGTCAGATTTCACAACGCACCGGCAGCTGGCAGCGGCCCGAGCTTTCGTTTCTCTCCGGTCTCGTCGGCAAAATGACATTTTGCCGGGGATGAGTCATCCTCCCCAACCCACACCTCTCCCCGTCAAGACCCCCAGATCATCACCACTTGTTGCTTTTTGAAAGATGAGTTATAACTCTCACAAGGATACCGTGAGAATTCGGCAATTCAATACTCACATAATCATCTCATGAATAGGGAACTTGACGGGAATGTTGAGGTAGAAACCCCGCGATGATCTAAGCCGGAGCCCTCGGCCCTTACTCACACCGTGGTGAGGATTGCCGTGTTCTGCACGGGCACGGAGGTCAAGTGCTCAGAGCCCATGAGCTGCATCTTGATTGCCTCATCCTCACTCAATCGCTACAGCCGCAGATCATGCTTCAGCTAGCTCCCTCCCCCCTAAACTCTCTCTCGTCCATCTTTCTCGTGGTTCTCGTCGGCATGTATCATGTTCCCAGCAGGAGCAACCGGCAGCAGAGCAACCGACGCCAGGGAGAATGACGCCGGAGCAGCCGTCGGAGTGGGTCCGGCGGGGCTAGAGTTGACATTGGCCCAAGAGCCGGAATAAGCGGGACATCTCCCGGACGTGTGTAAGTATGGCTTCATCGCGATTTTTCTTCTTTCAAACATTTTCCCGACCGTGACGCTGCGTTTGATCGATGGAGGAATACGAGAGCGTGGAAAGGGGATGGAATGAATGGTAAGGTATTCTCCCGAGGGAGGGACTCTTGTTCTTGTTCTACGGGTATACCTACCTACCCCGATATAAGCGTAGACATATCCGCCATGCCAAGGTATACCTACCTATATCGAATCACGATTATCGACCGCCTCTCCTGTATCTGTATTCCGGAGGGTGGGGGTTGGTGTCAAAGTGAATCTCGTGTTACAACATGTCTACGAGAAAAACCACGAAACGGGAGGATGGGGGAGGCGGGAAGCAATTTGAACACCATTATAACGAGAGCGAGGGGGCAAGAAAAAGAAAAAGAAAATAACACAGACCGAGTTTGGATCCGGGGTTATCTCATATTCAGGTCATGTCTAGCTAGCATAGCTCACGGCGTGCACGCGAGTGTTGTGGAGGAGGAGCTTTACTCCTTGGTCTCGTGGTTTCAAGCCATGACGCTGCCTCACGACATGTCTTCAGTCCAGCCCATCGTGCAACAAACGCCCACTCGATGTACTGTTACGAAATCAGTCCTTGAGCCCTTGTAATTGATCTAATTCTTCAATGTACCGCATTTGTTAGCCCCAAAGTCACGTTGGAAACGTAAAGTACGCCTTTACCAATCCCCCTCGGGAATTGGATTCCGCGTAGCCTCCGTCGCTGTTCGTCAGCGACAAACCACATCACCACATCACCACGAAACAGCACACCAATCCCAAGCACTCAGTCGCAGAAAGCCTATATAACATCCCACCCCCTATCTCAATTCCAACCGGAAATGTCGAGAACCTCCAAAAGACATCATCCCAAGATCAAAGACAAAATGGCACACGCACTCATCCTCGGCGCCTCGGGCATCTCAGGCTGGTCCCTCCTCAACCAAGCCAGGACATACCCCACGCCCACGACCTTTGTCCGCATCACCGGCACCACGAACCGGGCATTGACCCTCGAGGAGGCGCGGCTGCCTACTGATGACCCCCGTTTGGCGATCGTATCTGGGATCGATTTCACGAGGGGCGTGGACGATGTCGCGGCGGTGATGAGGGAGACGATTCCTGACAAGGAGACTGTTTCTCACGTCTCTTACACGGGTACGTGAGCAGAAACTTACACGCTTTGCATACTACAAGAAAGGGTGGGTGGGTTTGTTCTGGCATCTGAATTTTCTAACAGCGTCGGGGGGATGATGCAACCTACACGAGCACCAACGGTCCCGCGGACCAAACCGCAGCAGCCAACAACACGGTCCCCCGCTTGGTCCAGTGGTCTCAAGGCCCGTGCCACTTGTGTAAGGCGCCCTGGAGTGCCCTGAGTCTGGTCGTAGAACACCTCATGTTGCACGCCGCACGCCGCACGCCGTACTTCCATCGGCAGTTGGGAGTCGGGACGCGACCCTCTCGGCTCAGGGACGACGGGGGAGCACCCGACACGGCTTCGGGGCAATCTTGCCACGGCAGTGAGAGGAAAGAAGAAAAAATGTCAAGGTGGGGGAATCATTCGGGATGCGCTCAGGACTGCGCTGCATGCAAACCATTCATGTCAAGGGGGTTGTTGGGGAGGTTATGCCATCTCGAGTGTGTGTGTAAGTCGGTCGCAGTCGAGGGCGACGTCCGTGTGTCCGTGACTGTCGGGTCGAGGTGGCGGGGTGTCGTCCAAAGTTGGGTGGGCGACGGAGACGAACACTACCGTCATTGTAAGGTGGCGCCCGTGCTCTGTAATCCTTGCAAAGTACCGTGTACTTACACAAGTCGCAGGTACTTGGTGCCACCAAACCCACTGGAAATGCACAGCTGTGGAGTCAGTGCAGGCGCCGTTGCAGCAACCTACGGACGCCCCAAGTTTATTTTGACGTCCTGGAATGTCACCCAGACCATTGTGGAATAGCCATAGCTTCAATCCCATGGCGGATGATCCAGAGCAATCTGAGCCCCGGCTTGTCTTTTGCGTTTCAAGCAACTTGGGCACTTCCCACTTGCGCAAGTAAACACCGCGCCTGTCACTACATTCCAGCCACGTGTGGTTTCCCAAACAACTGCAGCAGACAGCGGGGCATTTCACACTGGCTCGCAAAGTGACCGGGTTCGCAGCACTTGTGACAAATGTCCGGCAAGCTCCGAGGATCAACAGGACTATTTCGCTCATCAGCTTCTCGTTTCAGTGAGATTGAAGGAAACATGGGGGGCTTACGTCATGGTCGAAAGACATTCATTCTCCCCAACCATCATCGAGTAGCGGTATTTGCAAAGTACCTCGGTATCCGGGAATCGATGCACAGCGATGTAGAGATATTGATTGCTGCGAACGACTTTGGCAATCTCTGCGCCGGTTATCACACTCCACTCGGAAGCAACGTGGTCGAGGTTGCTCAAAAAGTTCCGGGGTGTAAGCCATGTCCACAACGACGTGGTACATTTCTGGAACCAAACTGATCTTGGCCTCGTGGACTCCGAGAGTTCTTGGTATACGCAAGTACTCTTTCAGGTCCTCTGTTCTCCTGAATGAGGCCTCGGTGCTGAAACGTAGATCCATAATGTTGCCTCTGATTCCCACCTCACAGACGTCGCAGAATGAAAACCTATTGTACACAAATTGATTGAGGACTGCGCTATCGATCAATCTGTGTGCCCTGTACTCGCCGAATTTGCGACGAATCTTGACGGTCATTGTAAAGTCCTCTGCCGCGGATGGCTGCGGCCCAAATGCCTTTGACGAGACCTTCAACGGAGTTCCGCCCGAGGGTAGGCGACGTGACGGAGTATCGGCTGAGGACAGCGGGAGCGACTGGCGTGATGGCTCTAACGGTGATGGCTGAAAAGGTTGATGGTGGCTCTCTTGGCAATCTCTCCCCAGTCAATTCATGTGGTGTTTTTTTCTCCACTCAGGCCATGCCTCATACGGTCACACTTCACATTGAGACAACTCTGCAAGCCCTGTGTGGAGATGAAAATGATTCTTCTCAGTCTCTCGGTGAGTGCCGCGTGTCCTCCATCCCCCTCCGTATCAAGTTATACCTCAAGGGTTGCCTCTGATGTTGCTGGCGAATGGGAATAATCAATTAAATTTGGCGTGTTCGTGTCCTCCGCCGACGTGAACTTTGCCGTCAACGCCGCAGGAAAGTCGGGCGAAGAAGCTGCTAGCTACTGCTGCTCCTCGGGCGTCTCTCTTGCATCGGCCAACCATGACTGCGACTTCTCAGGCTCGATCTGCATCGGTTCTGGCTCTGAAAGAGGTACCGAAGCGTTCCGAAAGACTGGAGATTGCGAGTTCATGTTCTCATCCATATGTATTGCCTTCGAATTATTCGGGTCGGGCTTTTTCGGCCTACCACGACGTTTCTTCTCCGGCTCGTTCATCCCCTGTCCCGCTTTGATCGGACCTGTCTGTACCATCTGCTTGGACAAACCTGTCCCAACCACGACCACCGCCCCTCATTCTCTCAAAGGCGTCGACAAGCTTGGTCCCAACTGTTAGAGAAGAATGGCCTGAAGAGGCTTTGGGCGTCTGCATGGCTTCGTCTTCTCTCGCCCCAGCTTCCATCGCATCCTTCTCCCGAGGCACATCCACGGCTTGTTGGCTTTCGCCAGGGTTCGACCCGCCGACAGGCGATGGCACTGATGATGCCCCAGTCGGATGAGGCTCGGCCTGACTGCTCGACTCCATATTCTCGTCATCAACGCACTGCGTCGAATCTTTTCCCCCAGCACCCCATCTTGACTGTTTTCTCTGCTTTCTTCGTGCTCTCGGGGGAGCCGTGGGCTGGCATTTCTCACACGTCGTCTGAGCCTGAGCCAAGGCTGAGGCCCAAGCAGGTTCGGCACTTGCGAATCCCTTGGAAATGTCAAACATTCGCTTTGTTGTTAACGATTGGCACATCGACGACCAGGCGGTATGGCGTTGATCCTTGATGCCCTCATTCTTACAGTTTCTCGATAGCCTCGCAAGGGAATGTTTCATGCGCTTCAGCACATTTTCCACATCGCAGAGCATTGGCGCACTGGTCTTTGAAGTGGCCAGGTTCAGAGCAACGTACGCAGAAATACGGTACCGAGCAGATGTCAACCGCACTGGATAGGAAGAACAGTTAGTGATATGCCCTCCTCCTCGCGCAACTTGGCCAACGCTATGGAGATGACTTTCACAGCCGTGACCTTTGATCCGCTCAAGTAAACCCATCCACGACAGAGACGGAGAGCATCTTTCTCATCAGTGAGAGTCAAGACAAGTCCTCCCAAAAGTCCTCGCGCTGTGGACAATCTTGACCGAATTTCTTGCCCCCAAGCTTGATTTCGGTCAGGAATTTTGTTGAACTCTTCTCTCGACATCCTGAGGCCGTGGACTTCGACATAGTAGTTTTCAGGAACTTGTACAAGTTTACCGAGACCGAATGCCTGGCAGACACTGTCTGCACGGGCGTAGATATCACTCACAGCCTTGTCGTCTTTGCAGAAGAGCTTGACCACGTTTCGATCGACACGAGCACCAAGAACGGAATCCCAGCACGACTGGTCATGGTCACTGGCCCCGTCATCCGGGGCGTTGTTGACGGCCCCTCTGATCTGTTGCTGGGCGCTCCCTTTCGGTTTGCGTTCCCGTTCTCGTATAGTGGCCACAATCTACATGATCTGGCTTGGCTGTAGGGCTTTTGCTTCCTCGAGGTACTCAGGCGGTCCCATCATCTTGAACCTGGCAGTGGGAGGCTCGCGAAAGGCATGCCTTTTGGCAGGCTTCAACTCTTGACGAATAGTCTTCAGGACCTCTCCCATCCCCAGAGGACCATCTTGGGAAGGTCCTTGGAGGAGCGTCCTCAGCTGTGGGATCGATGAGAGTTGGCTCTGGTAGAGATCCACCAGACTCTGTACGACGCTTACAGTGACCTCTTCAGTCCCAAGCAACATTTGTAGCTCCTTTATCATGTGCTTGAGATTCTCGGCTCGTGACGTCTTCGTGGGCGGAGGGGACTGGCTTCGATGCGCGGGCGTGGACGTGGGCGCGGGCGCGGGCGCGGGTCCTGGCGTTGGCCCTGTCGGTGGTAAGACACTGGTCGAATCTATCGAGGTTGAAAGAGGTAGGTTAGTTCTGCGAACTTGAACAGAAAAAAGAAAAGACTTCCAAAACTGCGCACAACATTCCGTGACTTGCTAGAGACCAAAGGCCTTACCTGCCGCGGAAGAAGATGGAGTGTATACGCGTCCCCTCTGAGCATCGGGCTGGTCATGGTCCGATTCGGAAGGCGGCCGTTGACGCTTTAAGCCTCTGCTTAAAGTTTTTAAAATTCTTTAACTAGGCCATCTTCTAGAGTTTGGTGTCTTTCGTCAGGGATGTGTGTAGAGTAAAACTGGCGTTCTTGTCGGCGAGTGAAGTGACGCAAAGGCCTTGAATGTATCATGAGCCAGAAAAAGAGGGATTGAGGAACGAGGCAGAATGGTACATGGCAGTAGGTGTCAAGGAGAAATCTGTGTCGATTTGAGAGGAAAGTTGCAAGCTGGATACCCAACCGAATGGTATGGGTACCTCCCCTATTACCTTGCCTCCCTGCCAACCAGCTCGGTGGTGATTGCAGATTCTGCGAGAATTTGCTAATTGAATTCGACGTGGGAAAGCTGCGCTGTGCAATCTCCCCCATCCCTGCAAGAGGGAAGTCACCAGACAACCCGCACTGAAGACGAAGGAGGCACTCGGCTTCCTGGAAGGTCTGACCGTCCGAAGAGTAAGTACCGTGTCATCATCGCATAACTGGAAAATTAGAGAGAGAAAACCATGCAAGTCACGGGTACTTTGTGAGAAAACAATGTCCGGTGTGAGGTTTGAAAAAGAAAAGAGGCGCAGGGACCCGGGACCCAGGACTGAAAGAGATAGCTTTGCTTGCTCAATGTAACAGTTTCCGTGGGCCGCCAAGGGTCGTCGTCGTCGTCGTCGTTGTCGGGATTGCGATGGATGGAAAAGCTTTTTTACACTTTGGAATTACGTACGTGGCTCAACGTTCACGGTTGGCAGCGGGCTGGAACTTGGAGGGGGCCATGGCGCCAAGGTCCCCTCGACCTTGCCCCCCTGTACGCCTTGAAAAGGGACCCATGGAGTGCGGACTCATGGTTCATGAGTAATAGGGTGGTTGGTGATTCAAGACGGTGCAGTGGATATCACCGAATCTAGACTTGAGACCCTGGAACAAATAGACCTGGCGAAACCGCGGCACTGGTGAGACCTGTCGCCTGGCGGCCTGCCCCTGCATGAAGAATGATAAGGAAGGATCCTAGACACACAAGTTGGTTCCATCATTGGGAGCCAAAACTCCAGGCACTTCGGTTGCCATACCGACAATGTGCCAGTCGTGTCGTGCTCAGGTAGATTAGGGGGCTCCATCTTGTACGGACACAGTTACAGTAGCAGGTCCTTTATCCGCCTTTTAGAATTATCCCTCGGGTCTGGGCCCGGGTTGGTGACTATTTTGGTCTTGGCCTGTATCCGTAGATGTCCGCCAATGGTACACTATTGAAATTTTGGAACGATTAGGGAGTGGGGAGCGCATGGCGGACGCCGCACGCGTGACGCCGGACTGAACTCTCCTCCTTCAGAAGCATCACTAATTACTCCATGTCCGTACCTTGCAATTTATTCGTCGGCTGACATGTCGAAACCTTGTGGTATCTGTAATGGGACCAACCGTGGACTCGTGGACTATCTCCACGCGACATACGTTGTGAAGGTACGGTCAAGGTTCTTAAAGACTTCCACTATCTACCTGCTGCGAAACGTAGCGCTTGATCACCAAGGTAGGTAATACCTGCCTCACCCGTGATCTACTAACCTAAGGTGAGGTACTGCAACTTGTGAGGTACTGTGATTTTGTTTCTGACAGTTAGCCAGATCGTAGCGAGGCATGTTACGTGAGCGTACCCAAGATTCTGGTGCCGACTCCCGAGGTGAGATACTCCATTCGTTTCAAGCTGAATTTTCGTGCTCCGGACTCGCACAGAATCCTGTTCTGAATTTACTCGATGACAGGGAAGTTGGAATAGTGTGCCCTATAAGTGATTAAGCACTGTTAGGCCGAGGCAACACCATGTCACACGTTACAAGTGTGATGGTGATATCTGGTGATTCTCACTTACCAAGGACTTGAACTGTCTGTCTGCTGCCGAGCTGTTGGAAATTGATAAAGTGACCTTTGGTGGCCCTGACTCGCGGTCGATTTGGACTTCCAATCCGACATCGTTTTCTATATCTCTCCCACCTTTATCGCTTCCAACTCCATTCCCTCGCCCTCTTCCAAACTCTCTACATTGACCGAACATCAAAACCCTTTTGACCTTCTCCCCCCCCCCCCCCTTCCCCTTACCGCCCGTGGCCTTCCACTTCACAGACGACAGCCATTGCGTTGGCTCCGAAGTGTAGGCCATGAGTGCCAACGTTTCTTCCTCGGAAGGCCAGGTTGAAGGAACCCTCGTCCTTTGGCAGTTCAACGCGAAAGGGAGCAAAACACGGGTAAAGAAACTTGTAACCTATACCCAAAACACACACCCCGAAGGACCACCTCATGTCATTGCCATTCAAGATCCTCCAAGCCCAACTTCCATGGATTGCTACCGAGAATTACAGACCGGTGTACCGGACGGCCCGAACTCTCCGCGAGGATGATCATCCATACATGCCGTGCCCGCCAAACAAGAGGGCCAAAAGGGAGCCTCGAGTGCTCGTGGATCTTGATCCAGTGGCCTTCTTGGCAATAGACACAATTAAGGTTGGAGAATGGCATCCAATTTTTCACGAGGACCTAGACGAGGTCCCCTAGAACTTTCAGGATCGCCTTGACCGCCTCGACCCCCCGACGCGGCGACACAAAGACGCTTTGGCTGCGACGTTAGCTCTCTCGACCTTGGCCGGTCCCATCAACATTCACAACGTCTACAATCGCCTCACGAACATCAACACTGACAGACTTTTGACGACTTGTACCTTACAAGTCCTGACGCACATAGTCTTCTCCACGGGACTCAGCAGGCTGGAATGCAGTGTCTCGTTGAACCGGGCACCTTGACGTACAGCCGAGGTGAAGACTTGTTCAAGAACACCTCGACCATCGACCTCGCCTTTCTCAGCCAAGATTTACTGCATCGTTTTGCGGACTGGAACGTTCCGAAAGAGAACTACTTTAGTTCAGATCATCGCATCGTTCAGACCGTTCTACTCATGGAGCCCGACCGAGTCTCCAGCGATCGCTACCTTTGGGGCAAGGCCGACGTTGCCGGGTTTCGTGCACATGTGAAGCAGGAACTGGTCCATTCTGGCTTGCTGGACCTGCCACTTACGAGCAAAACCCACATCAACGAGTACTTTTCAAGGTTCAACGACATCATTCGACTCGCCATCCCTTTATATGTTCCCCTCGCCAGTCCTCCCGGCATCTGCAGTCCCCCTAAGCCGCCGCCATTGCGGGACAAGCAACATCTAGGACTTGAGCAACAGGCTTCGAGTCACCTTGGCACCGATCTAGATGCGGAGGATGACTTTGACGCTTTGCAGCGACGCCTCGAATTCCAGACCAGGACTGAAAAGACGAAGGAGTGGCGGGCAATGCTTTCCGGGGACAGCAAGAAGTCCCCAACCATCCACAAGCGTGCCAAGATAGGCGCCCTCTTGAGCAAGCCGCGCGTTTCCGGCCAGATGCCCTTCCTAGTCAGACCAGACAAGACCAAGTGCACAAGCCTCGAGGAGAACGCGCAGTGCCTCCGGGGATCAGTTTGGCCCAATACCAGCGAAGGACCTACAGTGTCCCCTCTTCCGCTTCCCGACCCCGACCCTCTACGACCCCAGCTCTTTGCCAACTCAGCTGTCAGCGACGATGTCAAAGCTGTTTTGTCAGGCCTCACCCGTGGCAAGGCTGCCGGGCCAGATGGAGTTTCGCCTGACGCCCTCAAGATGCTCCACGACCCTTTCGACGAGGTTCCCGACGAGGCTGTCCACGGCGGACACGATGAAGCTCTCGGAGTGAGCGTGAGCAGCATCATCCATCCTTACATCAAACGTGGAGCGCAGGCCTGCCTGTTCCACTCGTACCACCCGGACGCTTTCAAACCCTCGATTACGGTCATCTTGCCCAAAGCCAACAAAGACGACTACACAAGCCCGAAAGCCTACCGCCCAGTTGCTCTACTATCCGTCGTTGGCAAGTTGATTGAGAGGATCGTTGCAGACCGCCTCAAGAAACTGGCCCTGGAGCACAGCGACCTGGTATCCTCGACGCAGTTTGGCTTACCCGGCAAGTCCACAACCAAGGCACTGGAGCACCTCATCAATTTAGTGCGACAGTGTTGGTCCCCTACTGGCCGTGCCAAGTTGAAAGCCACGTTGATGACGATTGACATTACGGGCGCGTACGATCACGTCCGACGGTTCGAGCTGCTGAAGATTTTTCGTCAGAAGGGCGTTCCCGATTGGATTGTGCGATTTGTCTGGTCGTTCCTCCGCGACCGCAAGAATGTCCTCAAACTTCCCGGACACACCTCGGAAGAGTTTTGGGTCGATATTGGCATCCCTCAGGGCAGCCCTTTGTCTCCCATTCTCTTCCTCTTCTTTTCCAGCCCCATCCTAGAGGCTCTCCAAGTCTCTTGTCCGTACGCAAAGTTTGCGCTGGCCATCTCTTACGTTGACGACACCAACATTCTCGTCACGTCTCCTTCGGAAGCTCAAAACTGCCAAGCATTGAAGTTCCTCTTCGAAAATTTGGTGGGCTGGGCATCACCCAACGGTATCTTCTTCGGTCCTCATAAGACATTCGTCATGCATTTCAGGAAGTCCATGACTCATGGGCCGCTAAGCACCGAGCTTCCAGATATCCCAGGCCTTCCCAAGGACTGTCTGCAGACAGAACTTCTTTTGCTCGGCGTCATTGTGGATTCGCAACTCAAATGGGCAGCACACATCGCACACGTAAGTCACCATTCACCTTTCACTTGCCTTGTTCTTTTTTCCCTCATGGCTGACCTTTATGTCAACAGATTTTTGCCAAAGTCAGGAGGAGGATGATCCATCTTCGCAGAATATCTGGATCGACTTGAGGGCCATCATTGCACGAGATGGAAGAGTCTTTACGTCAGTTCGGTTCTTCCCATCTTCTCATACGCCTGCCCCGTTTGGTTCATCGACGGTCGAGGCCAGAAGATCCGAGGCCAACTGACAAAGGCACTGATCGATTCCCTTGACGCGGAACAGGCGCGTTTTCTGCGATTCGTGGCTGGTGGATTCCAGGCCTCTGCCTCGGAGGTCGTTCACAAGGAGCTGCACATGGTTCAGTTGTCGGTTTATCTCGAACAGCTTGCGCTCAGGCACCGGATTAACAACCTCTATTCACCAGAGTATCGAGAACTCAAGGCAATGTGGGACAATGTCTTCACAGACGTAGCAACCGAGCAGGAGTTGGAAGCTCATCCCTACAAAGCCCTCTACAGCCAGGCGGAACCCATGTGGCTCGAGATGCGCCAAAAGGTTTTGGACAAGCATCTTTCCAGAGGAGACGGGACTCCTGAGCAGGCCGTGCAGGCAGAAGCCGAGGGCTGGGCCAATCCTAACCGCCGCAAGGCCATCATCAAGGGCTACCTGAAGAACATCTCCATGAAGAGGAGCAGTCTAGCGTGGGTTCGATACAGGAACGAACGAAGTGGCAAGGTCTGCAATATCAATCGCGACACTCCGGCTCTCAAGGAAGACTGGGACCCAGAGAGTCTCAAGTACTACCAAGGGCTCACACGTGCTCAGAGTACCATGTTGTTCCATTGCCGCAGTGGAGTGATAGGGTTGAACGGCTATCTGTCTTCGCTTCCGACAAAAGTACCGGTGGTTCCATGCCATTTTCTTTTCTCTCTCTCTCTCTCTCTCTCTCTCTCTCTCTCTCTCTCTCTCTCTCTCTCTCTCTCTTTTTCCACCTGTTTACTTTCTTTCGCACCACTTGAAGTTTTCACTCTTTGACTCTGCAAGTCTGACCTCTCGTCTTTACTCCAGTTGGTCGACACACACCAATGCCGCTGTGGCAAACCGAAGCAAACGGCCGAACATCTCTTTGCCCATTGCGATCAGCTCTCCTTCGAACGCAGTCGCTTGCGCAAACACGTCCGCGCAATCCAATTCGACATGCTGGTCACAACCGAGGCCAACATCGCCACCGCGTGGGCCATTCACCATTTCGATATCGCTCAGTTCAGGTGGACGGCCAAGCACATGCCGCTTCCCTGTTGATCGCGGCACGCAGGCATCGGCAGCCGCGCTCACCGTTGCCGCACCTTCCGACCTTCCTTCGGATGCCACTTGCCGTTTTGTATCTTCCTTTCTTTGCGTCTTTCCTTCTTTGTCTTTCGTCGCGCTCTTCGCTCTTTCCACACCTCGATGTATGTCATGGAGCCGCGCGTTTCTTTGGTCCCGGGGCTAGTGTACCCAAGACCGCTGCCAGCTTGTCGGTGTCGCCTCATTGCCTTGCTCGCCCTCGTCCTTTTCTTCTCCTTCTTCTCCTCTGTTTTTCTTTTGTTCCTGGTTGATGCCACGGAATTCCACTTCATCATGTCAGCCAGCTTCGTCTTTGTACAGTAGCAGATCTTAGCCCATACCTGCAATACAACCCCCATTTTGCCCTTCACCCCTCGGCGGATGCCTTCCGCCGGGGTACCAATGTGTATGACATATTGTGTGACGGGTGAGATCTTTTACGGCCTTGCCTTCCTCGCTCGCATGACTGACAGGTCTCTGAGTCTAGGAAAACTGGGTATATTGCACTGCATACCTAACTACTAAGTAAGTTGACTTCCTCCACGTTGCTTTGTGCCTCATGCTGCGAGCCTTTTGACTGACTGGCGGACCGAGTCCTACCAGCAGCCAACCGAACTTCGATTATTATCCCCCTTCCCTCGAGTACGAGGCCTACCCCCGTTCATCGCGTTGCTCGGACATGCTAACAATCGTGTTCAAGCAGCTTTCGCCCGACCTTCCGCCGCGTGAGTATGCCCGCCCCCTTTCCTCTTTCACATGAGGCATCAGTAACAGGTCTGACAGATTCCTTCCAAGTTCCAGCCCTACGCCTAGACGGCCAACTTCACCCACTCCAGCGCACACAACACCTCCTGGTGCCAGCCCGCGTGGGCAGCCAGATTCAGCACGATGGCCTCCTTCTCCTCCAGGGTCCGTGGACCTCTCAAGTGGTCTCTTCTTTCCATGATGTGGAGCGTCTCCGTGGGGTTGGCTCTACGGAGCATGATCTCGAGGCCGGCGTCAAGTTGCCGTAAGTTAGCCTCTGCTTAATCAGACCTGAAACGTCAAAAGCTAATAGTCTTTCTCAGGGATCTTGGCGTCGTGCCCGGCACGGCTATGCACGACGTTCGTGGTCTCGCCCAGCCGAATGCCGCACCTCCGGAAGGCATCGCGCCATTCCGCCGGCGTGCCCTCGTGGGCCACGATGGCCAGGGCGTCGAATGGGCCGGTATGTTTATTGAATATACCATGATAGTGGTTTATTGCTTGGGCTGCAGGAACGCCTCTGCGCATGAACCCTGCTGACCAGAGTTTGGCAGAAGAATCGATCGAGCCTGAGAGGGGCAGACGTGTCCAGGACGATAGACATTGTTGGGTAAGGTTCGTCTCTTTCTTTTTCTACCATTCCCATGCCGGTCACTAACACTCTCCTGAGAGTGTCTCAGCCCGCTGAGTGCCGACTGTATGTTGCGTGGTGGGTCCCTCCCTTCCCCAATTCTGTGTTTGGATGATCAAAGCTAATCATGAGCCGGCAGAGTAGGTGCACGTCAACGTGGCTGTTTGACTGGCTTGCCGTTAAACTGGTTGTCTGACTATTTGTTCAGCTGGCGGATGTTGTTGTTTGGTGGTTGTGTTTGTAAGTGATGGAGGTTGGTCACATTTGCTTCTGCTCCATCTCTGTGACAGACGCTAACCACTTTCAAAGCAGTGTCTGTACTTGTGTGTATGATGTGGAATGTGATGAGGATGGAAAGAATCCTTGCGAGCTCTGGTACGGCAAGTACGACGGCACTTTCATCACGCGCTGATCAACGGCTGACAGGAGAAGAAGAGGAGCAAGATATTGGCCATGTTGGCCCTTTCTCCGGAAGCCTCTGCGTTGACGTTGAGTTCAGAACATCTCCGGTGCGTGTGAGTGAGTCCACTCTGTCCGGTGCGTCATTCCCTTGCTATTGGCAGCCGTTGTGAGATGAACTTGTGCTGATTCATGCTAGTAGGCCGCCCTCGACCTTTGCGGCCGACCTTGACGGCCCGCGTGAGTATGTCGCTCAGCCTGTCGTCGGCAAGCAGCATGCCTCCCAACAAGAGAAAGACATTTTTTCACCTTCCTCGAGAGCTGCGGGACATGATTTACCGGTTCTACGTCGTGTCCGACGGAGGCTATGTCCTGAATCCCGAATCCAATAGACTCAGAGATGCCATGGGCAGACCAATCGACCTGGCTCTTTCGTACAGTGCAAACGTGCTGCCGACGAAATGAGGGGCCTTGCCCTGTCGGTGAACACCATCACCGTTTCAACCTTTTACTCGCCAGACGAACGCCACAAAGCTAGAGACTTTGACCTCGTCATGATGATTCTGAATGAAGAGCTAGAAAATGCGCTCCACTGCTCACAGCATCTTCTCTCGGACGATACATGTGATGAGATATCGGGAGCGTTCCCAGAGTTCACGCCTATTCTCGACATGATCAAGCACGATACATGGGGCAGATCGACCAGGCAAGGCCCATGGGGTGAACCTTACCCCGTTTATCGAGACTTCGTACGCTTCGCTTTGCGAGCCATGCCAAGCACAGAAGACAGGCATCGGTTCAGTGATGACTTTACGGAACTTCACGGCGGCACACCCGACACCCAACTTCTTCTCGATATGGACCCGGCCCCTTGGACCATTCCAAGGCAACATGATCTCCGACAGATGATGGAGGCGCTCGGCGGGAAACATTCAATAAGAGCGTATGGTCTCGACGTAGGCTGGATGGGCACTGAATGCGCCAGACGTGCTATGTTTCGCTATTCTGCAGCCGCTGTTGCCATTCGGTTCCTGGAATCCAACACGCCTGCGATCCGAGCGCACATGAGAGACATCGTGCTGATTGAAGATCAGGAGTCTGTCTCGAACCCCGAGTGTCACGCCATGGGGTTGATCCCCTATTGTCGAGAGAATTCCGGCTTGCGGATAGAGCGACGCATCAGTTTGTGGCGGAACGCCTTCTTTCACCGTTCGGGGCGAGCACTTGGTGAGCGGACGCATGATCACTATAATCTTGGTCTGGACGCTAATGAGATCTCTTTCGCCATCGCGCGCTGGATCATTGAGGTCTTGCCACTCGTCTCCGCCGGTATGCCCGCCAATTCGTTCACCTTGGTCTTGGACGGAGAGGGTGAACCGCAGTGTTCGGAAATCTTCCAGAATGTCGTTCTGCGCGATGCTGCATGGCAGCAGGCGATGGAAGAATGTTTCCAAACCGGCGTCTTTCCGCCGGAGCCGTATGGGATGAGGAGAAACACCTAGAGGGGTCAGTTACTCGATGCCTTCCCCGCCTTCAACAACTGCTATCTGTTTGACAAGTTCCCGCAGGTAATGCGAGAAATCGTCGACGGGACGTCCATGGTTCGTTGCAATTTTGACCCTGGGGAGTTTGTGGATACGGAGCTTCTCAAGCTGTTCGCAAAGCAGGAGTTATGGAGCGTGGACCACTGGAAATTCCACTGGTATGAACGCCAGGAGAAGACTTATCAGCCTTCTCCACCGTTGCCGTCATGGAGCGATATCAAAGCTGGCTATCTTTCTGATCGCCACGTGGCTACCACGCCCTCTCTGACTGAAATGATGTCAAACTCTTACGCCCCCCAGGGCCTGCGGTGGTAGTGATGTTGAGACTAATACCGCGCGGAGCGGCCGGGGGGTTAAGACAGTGCAACACTAGATAGGACCAGCATATGTCGTCAGTTTATAGAACAAAATAAAGGAGGGTAGCCTAGTATCCGAGGTTTCGTACGCTTGCGGTGATTGGTGGTCATCCCACCCAATCTAGCTGGGGCAGTCGTATGTGAAAAGTTACAAGAGCCCATCCAGAGACATACTGTGCGCTTTCCCAAAGCCCGCAACTTTGCAATTGCAGCCAGATCGTCACCGAGGCGTAGTAGCGAGTGAGGAAGGTGGGGGAGATGGGTGCGAGGTGACACCGTTAATTCAGTCCCCGACGGTAATAGTCCGGAAGATGGGGGGCAGTATTGGATATGTCAAGCCGTTAGAAACACGATGGTAAAATGCACGGCAATGAGACTACACGTAGCTTTTGGGGGTCACTGGAAGTTTGCGCATGCCGCATGCGCGAAAGGCTTCTTTGGAGATGTTCTAGTTCTCAATGACGGTTATCATGATTGTATCCAGTGATCACTACCGTTCCAGAAACTCTTCTTCTTCTTCTTCTTCTTCTTCTTCTTCGATACCCCCCTCCTGAAGTTGTATTGCAAGACGAGACCGAAAAAAGGAAAAAAGAAAAAAACAATTACTCAAAGAGCCGCCATCGCGGCCGGGTATCATCGATCCGCTCTGCGCCAAACACGTCCTGCCTGCTCCTGAACCCTCGCCTCGCCCCTCCCCCTCTCTCCCTACATCACCGCCCACGCTTCGTACCAGCCTGGCTCAACAAGTCCACGTTCCGCGGTAACTCAAAGTCCCCCCGCGCCTCGAACCAGAAGAGCATCTCCGGCTCCGGACCCGTTGGCTTTGTCGGTTTCTTCGTCTGCGACTGCCCAGACATGACCACATCCCCATCACCACCACCACCACCACCCTCCTCATCACTCCCCTCCTCGTCATCCTCATCCTCATCATCCTCCTCCTCCTCAAGCCCCCTCCTCAACCCAGTCCTCACATTCTCCACCCCCATCCGCCGCTCGTCCTCGGTATACACGTCGCCCGCCTCCTCGAGGACGTATTTCTGCACCCGCTCCACGGTCCAGGCGCGCACGTCGCGCCACACCGCCTCGAGCTGGGCCTCGCCGCCGCCGCCGCCGCCACCATTCCCATCACCGCCGCCGCGCAGCTCCCGCGTCGTCTCCCGCCCGCGCTCAACCCACTCCTCGACGCCCGGCTCAAGTTTCTTGCGAAGCAGCTGCAGCAGGATGTTCTCGTGCACGCGGCCCGGGTACGCGACGTCCGGGAAGACGTGGAGGTGTTGAAAGACGTGCGTGTTTTCCGTCAGGGTCTCGAGGAGGGATTGGAGGTTGCGGAGGAGGATTTGGGATTGTGCTTGGAGGGATGCTCTGTTTTTTTTGGCGATGCACGACATAATTAGCTTTCTAGGTCATGGATGGGAGCCACCGGGGAAGGGGGAGAAGGAGGAAAAGACTCACGGGGGAGGAAGCGGGTTACTCTTCAAGACGTCCATCCGCAGGCCCTGGATACTGTTGGAGAGCTGGAACAGACGCTGGCGCGTCTGCTCAATCGCCTTGAATTCATCGGCGGTGATGCCGAGCGCGTTCGGCTTGTCCATTGTCGTTGGTCTATTTCTTGCGAGCTTTCAATCGTTTTCGCACGGCTCGTCGCAGCTTCGGAAGTAGTTGGGGTTCTCGGGAATCGTAGCGTTCGTTCTCGAATGTGGGTTTATGAAAATCGCACAGCTCGCGTCTCGACGCGCCGAGGGCTACCAAGCGGGGGGAAGTCGGCGTGATTGAGGGAAAAGTACTGGAGTCGGGAAGTGATGTGACTACTCAATTGATTCTTCGAAGCTGCGGCGGAGCAGGTAATGCGGGGTGGTTTTTACGAGTTGACGGACGGGAGGTTTCTATCCAGGTTGAGCAATTTGGGGGAAAAGGTTGAAGTGACGTTCCAATCCACTCGGCCGGGGGAGCAAGTTGAGTGGGTCTGCAAGCTCCGCGTCGACGGGGTCTGAGTAGCGATCACGGCGTCAGCGCGTACCCCGCTGGCCGGCGCATCCCAGCCGAAAGCACTGCAGGAGCAGGGGCTATGCGGGACGGGGGTCCCTTTGGGTTTTCGGATACAAGGGGACCACTACCCCTCATCCTGAAGGCTGGAGCTACCTTGAATTAAGGTAGCGTTAGACTCGAGCGACGCTCCTTCTGGTCGCAGGGAATAAGACAGAATCAATTGGCTTCTGGTATGCATGCTTGACGTAAGGCATTCGGATATGGCCAATGGCGTGGCGATGCACTCACTTTATGAGATGAAGCCAAGACGGTCTCGATACATCGCTACGGGCACGATGAGATGGGCAGCATATCAACCAAGACAGTCAAGACCTAATAACAATGGGCGGGCTGCTTGAGCTGGCCTCTGAGTCTTCCTCGAGATTGGGTGTCACGATTCAACATGGGAGACTGGACTTGAAATGCAGCAGGTTACTTGCTTATGTGCTAATTTTTGGGCGTTCATTTCCTAGAGCCCCATTGAAAGCTAATATACAGAGGGCGTCTGATCCGTCTTAAAGATCGTGATCATACGCGTAATCGCCTTGCGGATATCTGCGAAAAAGAAGAGAAAAAGATTTCGCGTGCTGTAAATCAAATGATAGGCCCCAACGCCCCCGTGACATGCATTTTGGTGTCGTTATCATCATGAATATGCAAAAGATTTTACTGGCCGTGAGATCCAGCTTGGTCGTAGAGAATTCTGTGACCGGTTGTGGCCCGGTCGACCTCCCGACCGTACTTGTCCACGGGTGGGTACCGAGCCCGACGCTCAAGGTCGTCAAGAGGGATCTGCGAGCGGATGTACCTGAAAGATGTTAGCATCAAGTCTGTTTCATCATACCAAGGTCACGACTTACTTCATTCTACCGTCGTCAATGGGGTCGTAATCCCAGCTGGTGAACTGGCCCTGGGTAAGAGCCCCCCATACGAGGCGACGCTTGCGCTGAGACTGCAAGACCTGCTCCGTGATAGCGTCAAAGTCCCACTTGGCCTTCGTCTCGGCGTTGTACTCCTCAAGCTTTGCTTTGGCCTCATCGTCCAACAGCTTGCCAGTGATGGCCTTGGATGACGCCAGGTTAACCAGTTCCAGCGGGTCGCGCTCAAGGTTGAACAACTGGGTGCCGTCTGCAGGGCAGTGGATGTACTTCCAAGGACCCTCTCGAATCATCATGAGCGGACTGACAGTGCCCTCGCCGGTGTACTCGGCGTAGACCTTGTCGTGGCCGGTCTTGCCCTGAAGATGGGGCAGCAATGAAACACCATCCATGGGCAGACCAGGAGCAGGCTTCGTGCCGACCAAATCGCACAGCGTCGGGAGAATATCGAGGGTAGAAACGTTCTTGTCAACACGATGGGGCTCAAAGTCCTTCGGGTGGCGGACAAACAGCGGCACTCTGACGGAAGACTCAAAGTAGCTCATCTTATACCACAGTCCACGCTCGCCGAGCATGTCGCCGTGGTCGCCGCTAAAGACGATAATGGTGTTGTCGTCCAGGCCGCACTTCTTCAGAACGGACAAAAGTCTTCCGACACAATCATCAACGTAGCTGACAGCGCCGTAGTATGCACGGCGAGCCCGCTTGATCTGGTCGTCGGTGAAATCGTAGTCCCAAAGATCGCAGACCTTCATGAGACGCTTGCTGTGAGGGTCCTGTTCCTCCTTGGGAATGCGGACCTTGGGAAGAGCGATATCGACGTCCTCGTAGAGATCCCAGTACTTGTCCTCAATCGTGTAGGGGTCGTGCGGGTGAGTCAAAGACACGGTGAGAGCAAAGGGACGCTTCTCGGGGCCCTCACGAACGTGGTCGTAGAGGAACTGAGTGGAGCGGAACATGACCTCCTCGTCGTAATCCAGCTGGTTGCTTCGCACGCAGGTGCCGGCTTGGAGAATGGAGCTGGAGTTGTGGTACCACTCGAGGCGGGTATCAGGCTCATCCCAGTTGACCACCCAGCCAAAGTCGCCGGGGTAAATGTCGCTAGTCAAACGAGTCTCATAGCCATGAAGCTGGTCCCCGATGAAATGCATTTTGCCTGCTAGCGCAGTCTGGTAACCCTTCAGGCGCAGGTAGTGTGCGTAGGTGGGGATCTCACTGGAGATCTGGCTGGCGTTATCGTAAGCACCGATCTTCATGGGCAGAAGACCGGTGATCAAGCTCATGCGTGATGGTGCGCACAACGGCGAAGGGCAATAGGCAGAGTCGAACTGAACAGACTCGGCGGCAAGAGCGTCCAAGTTTGGTGTCTTGATCTGTGACTCGGGATTGTACATCTTGAGTTGGGGTGCGGCCAGTTGGTCGGCCATGATGAAGAGAATGTTGGGCTGCTTCGCGCTTGGTGCTCCATTGCCGTTGCCGTTGGCAGACTTGCCATTAGCGGGTTGCGCCAGAGGCGAGGAGGGAAGCGAGTTGAGATCGGGAGCCATTGTGCTTGTAACCAATGGTCTCGGGTAACAATTGTTTATTGAAACTTAAGCAAACGTGTTGTAGATGGTAGTTATGGTGTTATCCTTTGTTGCGTGGAGGGAATGTCTTTGTGGCTTGTGTGTGGGCGAAAGACAAGACTGCTTATAAAGAGCCGGTGTGCGTGTGTGTATGTGTGTGTCAAGTGTGATGATGAGCAGTGATTGAAAAGTTTATAAGTGATCAAGGGCAAGAGGTGGCCTGTGATTAGGAGAAAGGCACAATGTGGTGGGTCTTTCGGATGATCTAGAAAGGAGAGAAGGAAGTTAATCACGTTCGTATGTGGGAGGAAGCGTGCTTTAAGAAAGTGAGCCAAGAGAAGAGAGCAAGAGCAGTCCCGTCCGCCTCGATGGTCTACCTAGTACCGCCCACGGGCCATTGCCCTTGGAGCCCGATAGGAAGGGACGACGGGACGTGGAGAACGTAGAAGGACAGGAGGCAAGGAGAACCAGCGCCATCCGCCAAACGGGGGCCACGCCATGCACAGACACTGCATATGCACCAAGCGAGGGATCTGCGGAGTACTTGAGATAAGGATACCCCGGACGGTGCTGATTCTACCACTGCCCAGTGCCCACCGTCGGTCGCATTGCCTGAACATGCCCAAGTGGCTTGTGCAGGATGGTGGGGCTTTCCCCGACTCATGCAATGTCACGGGGCTCCAGCTGCTTCTCTTCTTTCCTTCGACCCATCCTTGGCAGTAAGGCCGCAGCCCGCAGGCGCCAGGACTCAGGAGCAACACAGTCGCCGATGAGCGGGAAGGAAGGGGGGTGAAGGGACGATACCTTAAGGTACTTGACAGATGCAGGCGATAGAGGACAGCAGGATCGTTCGGAGCCCGTTCATCGTCAATAAATTTCCCTCCCCGGTCAACGATCCAATGGTTAAGGAAGGAAGGTGCGTTACTGTGTAGGTAGGTCATCGGCCAAAACTGTCAGACAGCAGCCATTCATCCAACCCGCCTTACCAAACTTGTTTAGTCACCGCCTTAATTCTGCTTCCTCCACCTTCTTCTCCTTTCGCCATTCAATACGGATAACTCATTACAATTTCCAGACCACACTACTCTTCGCTACGCTTACACTAATCACTACATGGGTAGTGACTCTATCCAAGGAAGACAGGTCGAGCGCAATGCGTCAAAATATGGCGTTTTCCGATCAGCCGATTGCGAAATAACCCATGCAAAGCACCTACCAGCCACTCATACACTTTGTCAGCATGGCAACAACATCAACTCGTCGTTACAGTCTCTCTTTTGTCAATGTATGGGCTCTTCGTGCTGGAGTATCCGTATTCGCATCACAAGAAGCAACTTCTTCTCCATCCGGCTCCATTCTGCATCACCCTTCAACGCTCCTTCGCGATAAGGCTAGTCGCTTTTTTCACACCGTGGGAGCCGAGCCACTCCAAGCGACAAGCGATGGCTGGCGGTGTGAACAACACGTCCCACGACAAATGAGAACGCAGCGCCCGAAACCCAAACGGCCGGCTACACCTTCTCGAACAACGGGCATGGGCCGGCTACCTAGTCTTACTCTTGTGCTATCTCGGCCTCTCGTGATGACTGGTAGGGCACCCTAGACTCCTGAAGCACTAACAAGCTTCGTTATGCTTCAAGCAGGAATAACAAATTCTCTCCCATTCGCTAGTCCCTGCTAATTGGACCCCTGGATCTCGACGACTATACCCCAATCGCCCTCTTGCAGCTGGACATTTACCCAAAGACCTGCCCACAACCTGCATAAGCGTCGCTCAACCCATGGACAGGGCCTCTTCCGATTAGCTGGAGGATTGGACGGTCCTGGTGTGCCAAAGGGAACATTCTTTCAATAACGGCCGCTTCAATGGGGGGCATGCCGTTCCTGCACGCACGCGACAAAATTACGGAGGACTCCGTTCCCCCTTCAACGACCTCCACTGATAAAGGCACCGAACCGGAGCATGAGAAAAGAAGATTGAGACAAGATGGGTCCGAGGCAAGTTATCGCTCACATCCATACAAAACTCAGACTGAGTAGTCGGAAGGCAACATCTACAAACACACAAGTGAGGTGTAATACGCCCAATTGTTCTGGCCCCCAGTGTACGCATGCAGGGCACAAACACCAACACCGTGGTTGCGAACCGAAGCGAACGGGGCACTTCTCCAGTCTCCAGGCTCCAGATGGGGAATTTTGGTCAGGCACGGGCAGGGACTGTCGGAACCGCTAACCGATAACTCGCCTGGCTCATCTCTCAAATCCACCTCCCGGCTGTCCTTTTCATCTGGCATCTGTACCCCATGCCAAGGCGGCGACATGTTCTTCTTTTTTTTCTTTTTTTTTTTTTTTGTGGCAATACTCTTGGGGCCGCGTAGGTATTCCCCTGGCAGATCACCAATTCGCATTTCCACCATCGAGAAGCTCAGAAGATGTCGTGATGGCGTCCACCTCCGACCTCCCGCCGGATCCCACCCCGCATTTGCGGGGTTACCCTCATGGCTGGCCGGTCACGCCATCGGAATAAGTTCTTTTACTCCGGGCGTAGCTCATCTTCGTGCCTCGCACCGCCTCCAGAGTCAAGACGTCTCCGTCTCCCGGAATGATGTGTCTCTCAAATCTACTGGTCACCGGTGCACGCACCAACGCGCCAGCGAGTAACTGTAATACTCGATAACTGCTTACCGCCGGTGTTGTGGCCCCGGCGCCCGGTCAAGCCATACCGCAATCACATCATCGCGCTCCAGTATTGCTTCATCAACTAGACTGCGGATTCCGACTCGAATTGTCGTTTCACCCACAACAATCAGCATCAGCATTAACCATCAAGGCTTTTCTTCCGAATTTCCAAGCAAGGGCGAGGATTAAACCCTCCGACGATCCGTGCCTTTCCTCCCATGCGCTTCCGTCGCCCTCACACCCCCGCCCACGACGCGTTTGCTCAGGTTGGTCAGCCTCAACGTTGCACCAGGCGAACCAGCTCGTTTTCGGCTGAGTCGTGGCCCTCGCTCCAGAGTGCACACTGGTGATCATCTGATGAGCCAGCCCATCACACACATTTCTTCTCCGCACCCGTTAATTGCATGACTGGCGCATATCGTCGATTCCCATCCCTCCGGCCCTGCACTACCTTAGGCGTCCAAGGTCGGTATCTCAATGGATAGCGCACCCCTCCACCCCGAACATCCCGTCGACGGTCTCACGGCCACTCGCGGCATACAGACAATGCCAAGCTACTCCCGACCCCAAGACAGCCCCCCTCCTCTCTAGTCAACATCGGGCATCTGCACTCCGTGCAGCAAAATCAAACTAGACCCTCGAATCACATCTCGTCCTGCTCTGCTGAGACATTGGCCAGGGGTCCCCCTTTGGAACACAACGTCACGTTCACCAGCGCACCAACCAACGGCGAACAACGAATCAACCTTCCCTCGTCGAGAAGGCTGACAAGACATGCAACAATCCAACACATTAATTTACGGCGAAAAGCGCTTTCGTGTACCCCTAGACCTTGTCCCGCTTTGCCTATCTGCACCCTCGTTGATACACTGTCAATCACACACGTGCGCAGTGCCAGCAACCCACGCATTTGACAGATAACAGCAGTGACACACCAGAAGGCATTGATTGACAGAAGAAAGGGGCCCGTAAATCGGAGGTTGAGGCACGCGATCGATGATCGGCCAGAACATCGTCTCCCCGCTCAGCCATCGTGGACCCCTCATATCTCCCGAGTCTCAACACCACGCAAAAGAGAGCCGCAACCAATCTTCCTTGCCAACAAGCAACACCACTAACCTGATAGAAGCATACACCATCATCAAGACCACCTCCACCACACAGGACACGCTTCCCTTGTTGACAAGCCCAATATGATTTTCCTCCCCCCTTAGATCTCGTGGTTCAGCCTGCGCCCCTGAAAAAGAGTATCATAACCACTCACATGACCACACACCTCGCGTTTCGCCGTCGACTCTTGGCATCCACACGAGAGGCCACGGGACCAAAACTCTTCCCCGACTCCATGACATCCGCGAGGCTACGGAAACCTTGACTTTTTTATTTGATCCGTATGTGTGTGTGTTTTTTCCCCCCTGTTAGTACGCATCATCACCAACACTTATTCGGAAACATCGTGACCGCGCTGCGCCTTGGTCGTCTACACGCGGCATAACCATTCCGGTCCATCATGAAATCTAACAAGGAGTTTAACAATGCGGGGTATATATCATTTCAAGAAAAAAAGAATCAAGGTATCTACACAAGAACCCTAGCTTAGACATCTAGGCGGGAATCTTCATAATGCATCGCACCTCCTATCCCACCGCGCGTCTCCAACTTCCCAAGATTCCTCCTTTCCTACCTTGGTCTCGGGGTTATCAGTCGCCAAAGACAAACGGGCGGAATTGACTCTCTCTGTCTGCTAGCCCAACTCATCGAATCCAACTCGTTTTGAACGGTGTGGTTGTTTGTCTTTTCTTTGCTCACATATATACTCCTACAAGCCAATGCTTCTGTTCCTCCCCTCTTCACCCCTCCCCTGCTCCTTCCGCCTCAATTGATTGAATTTTTGTTACCCCGCAATGCGAATCTCGAATAGAATAATGAGACGACGAAGAAGAAGAAGACGACTACGATGAATGACGAATAAAAGAAGAGACCGCCCAACCCTCGCCTTGCTTTGTTCAGTCAAAAAAAAAACCCCTCAAAATATGCGGTTTTCCCAAGTTCAAACATTTCCGTCTCATGTAATTCTCAGAGAGAAAGACATGAGTAAAGCAAAAAAAGATATCCTGCACGCCCCCATCCCAAGCGACGACACGCTTTCGTGCCCAATTCCATCCCATCAATCCATGTCTCATGTACCTTTTTTTCCCCGCCCATTCTCCCTCGTTGTATTCATGCCTTGTACTGTATTGCTACAACTCCCGTTTTACTGCGTACGGTAAAACTTCTTGTACACAAGATGCAGCAACAAGTTGACATTCAGCTTGAGGCTCCCCTCAAAAAGGTTCATAAACTGGTGGGCCTCGAACTGGGCCTGCAGCAGATCCTCAATGGGTACGAGGGCGCTCGCCCCCGGCATCTGGATGTGGCCGCGCGAGCCCTCGAGCGAGAAGACGCCCACCTCGTCGCACGAAATGGTAAGGTTGACCCTCTCCCAGTCGGTGACGCCACTCCACCCGACGAGCACGCCTTTCTCCGCTAGAGCCCGAGCGCTATATTTGTAACTGCCAAACTTGGGGACCCGCCCGCTGCGTTCCAGTTCGCGCTGATGGTTGTACTGTTTGGTGAACGGAAGCAGGAACCGTTTCTTTCTGTTAAAAAAAATTGACGAGATTTAGTCAGCGTATGGCGACACACTTGGACCGTGCTTATAATGTGGGTAATGGTGGGGGAAAAAGACTGGAAAGTGGAGGAGGATGGAGATCACATCCGGGGATCGGACATGTGGATGTGTGATATGCAGCTCACGATAGGAATTGTCTAGACTTACCCCTTGTTCTTTTGCAATGTCGCCATTGCGGATTCAATGTAGTCGTCATAGCTCTTGCGCTGTTGCTCGAGGTACTTGGCCTTCTCGTGCAAGTTGGCGAGAGTTGATCGAACACCTTCCAATTCACGCTGGCGCTGTACACGTCTTCGGCTCTTGGTGCGGATGTCGAGGGCGATGGCGTTGAGGATATCTTGGTAGTAGTTGTGCTTGGAGATTCGGCCCATGTGCTCCAATCGCATAATGTTCTCAAGCGCTGTACGCTTGAGGTCGTAGTACGACATCCGGGTCACATCCACCATGTGGGCGTCCGAGTACGCGCCCTTGGTGTTGGCGTCGTCGACTCTGTCGTCGCGCAGGACTGACCGCCACTTGTGTTCGTCTTCAGGGTTGATGGGCTTGACAAGGATGTCGAGGAGATGGGCGCCAGTCTGCACGCGAATAATGTACAGGATGCATCGCTTCGTCTCCATGAAGAGAGCCTTAACCTCCGCATCCGGATCGTCGATGTCGTGCAGCTTTGGCGTGAGGTAGAGTTGAATGTCAGAAGAGCCTGCCGAGAGCATCTCATTCTCGTTGTTCTTGGCACTACCCAATTCTTGCAAGATTTCGCGGAGAACGTCGTCTCGGTTGGGGCATACCATCGGGAGGTCGCCGACGATGAGGTTGTGAATCGCAAAGATATCCGTCATCTTGATGTACAGAGTTGGCTTGTTCTTCGAGTATAAGTCATTGAACTCATCAATGTCGAAATTACGCTCCGCGTCTGGTACAGAGATGAGGTCGTGGGTGATTTGAGCCAAACGCTCCATCGACTCGCCCACGAAAGCGTTCAGGGGTTGGAGGTAGATGTTCTCGCCGCCGAACGGCCTGCCCGAGGCTACCTGGCCGAGTACCTTGGCAACCTCTCCGAGATTGCGCTTCTGAAGAGGGCTCAACTGCTTCTCAATGACACCAACGTTCTCAGGAGCAATGACAGCGGGCTGCATGTAGAAGCGCCAAAGCCAGTTTGTGACAATCTGCAGGATATGGTGTTGAGGTTCTTTCTTGAACTGTTGACAAAGGGCCTCGAACATTTGGCGACAGAGGAACCGGACACCGTACGGCATCTTTGGCAAGAGGTCCTCCAGAGCCAGCAGGTATTGGTCGCAGATCTCTCGGAGGTCGCGGAGATGGTCGATGAAGAGGTCTCTTGTTTCTGGGTCCTTGATGGCCATCTCTCGGGGAACATCCAGAGGACGGCGGCTGGGACGGCCAGTCCGCAACTCTTCGTTGTTGATGGCTGACCTGTAGATCTGCAGAGGGTCACTCTCGAGGTCAAGAGCAGGATCCTCCACAATATTGTCGCGCACGATAGGGCCAAGAAGTTCCCTAAGGTACTTCCGGTCTCGGGGGGATCGGGTGTAGTTTG